TTCTTAGAGCTTTTCTTTAAGATTTTTTCCTCCAATGTTTTCCACATCTTACTTGCAGAAGTCTCGTTCTTGTAGCCATACTTCTGCTCCATGGAAAGACAAGATCGAATCGTGCTGCACGCCAAACGATTAATTGTTTCCCATTCTTTCTCCTCCATATATTCGGGCTTTTCTTCCTCAATGGCGAAATCTAGACCTTGTTGGAATAAAACGTCTAACACATCGCCTTACCACATGCCAAAATGACCGAATCCATCGAACACATCCACCGAGAAATTTGCATTTGACATCATCCTCCTCACCGGTCCAGATGAAAAGCTTGATGTTTCAACTGATATGTATTTTGGCATTTTAATTCTAACGAACAATATTTAATAGCACGAACTGTATCATTTCAGCAACAAGACCACAAAGATAACCTCAACCGAAGCTCTGATGTCAATTGTTGGGGAAACCAGGTTATTTCCCATACGAACATAGTTTCAAAATTGACCTAAAATGTCACGATCAAAACAACCAAAGGTTGCACAACGGATAAACCCGTCAAACTATTGAATATTGAAACACAATGGAAAAACTGAATAAAAAATAATAAAGGAGAGAATACACCAAAGTTACGAGGTTCAATGAGAATATCGTCTACTCCTCGGGCACCACACCGGATGATAACTTCACTATCAAAAAATATTACAACAAATAGAATTCTTTAGAATTCCCAAAGTGAGAGAATGAAGAAAACAAATGGAAGAGAGAACTTGTTTTTGGGATGATTTCTAATGAAATACTTAGGCCTATTTATAGTTGAGATTTAAGGACTAAACTTATAAATAACCTAATATTTTAGGGACCAAAGATGAAATTCCCATGTGCAAAGTTGGCCACCTACCAAAGATGAATTTTTCAATAAGTTTGTCACAAACCAAGATGAATTTTCCAACTTATCAAATTTGACAATTTACAAGCCAAATATAAAAATCTTCTCTGTGATCAAACAAATGTAAATGCCACTAGTCCCGTAAAACGTTACTGATTCACACAATTTATATTGATATATTCTCGATTATATAGGGTCTGAAGACGAGAATGTATTATCTACGATCTCGTGCTGCGACTGATGCAATCAAATTCACTGTAGATACATCCATGCTTAAGGTAATGAATATAGGTTCAAACCATCATTGCAATATCAGTTGATTTGTGATATGTATTGATAACAAGCTTGCCATTTCTGGTAATGTAGGAAAAGCCAAAGGTAGATGATGAAACAAAAATGACACAGATGGTGTGTTCCCTAACTAATCGCGAGGAGTGCATGTCTTGCGGGAGCTAAGTAACTTCAAAGGACCGTGATCGATTCACTTTTTGAAGCTTTTGGAAAGTATGCATGTGTAAGAAAAGTAATTTGGTGTGAAGTTCAGAAGTCTGAACAGATGGTTTATTTGTATAGTATAATAATGATTTTTGGTATATGAAGGTTGCAATATTTTGGATTATCAATGGCAATTACATGTTAAAGCTTGCTTTAATCTATAAACTAGTAGTAGTTCCCTTTAGAGCATTGAAAATTGAAAGAAGTTGATGGATCTGACAGAGAAAAGAAGCTAACTGATTTGACTTGACACAACTTGAGTGAAGCAAAACCCCCGAAATTACAAAAGAATTACTGTTTCTTTTTGCAAAAAGAAGAAAAAACAAGACTATTAGGAGAGTTTTTTTTATCAGGTTTTAAATGAATGGATTTTTCTATAGCTAAATTTTAGATTAAATTAAGGGTAAATTAAAAAAAAATTACCATTCAACTGTCTTTTCATTCTTATTTTGGTCATTAATTTTTTTAATAATTTAATCATTTAACTTTTGAATTATTTTTTTGAGTTTGCGTTGTGTTATATTGGTTTATTTGTGTAATGTAGTTTGCGTTTATTGATGTGCTAATTTACTCTTATTTTAAAGAATGATAACAATGCTTTGCCTCAGTGTGTGTGAGAGAGAATACCACTTTTTTATCAAATTAAGCAATTTTGATGAACTCTTTGGTAAAATGTTTATTTATCTCTAATTAAGTTGATTTTTGGACAGTGATTAGAAGATATGGATACCTTGATTTAGTATGATCAAGATTTTTATTTGGGTATCACAATTTTGGAGTCTTAATTTTTCTTTTGCTTTTACTTGAGACTATCTGTTGAAGTCTTATTAGAGTCTATATGCATTGTTGTGTCTATGCATTACTTTTATTATTATAGTGTAACTTTTAAGCGAATTCAAATTTTGTTTTTCTTAGAGATCTTAAGTTTGAGAAACAATTTGTATAATGTGTGTACGATAACAATTGGTTCAGAAAATTACGAACAATACTACTTTGTATTCATTTTAGACTATTAAGAAAATGTTGATTAATTGTGTTGGTGAATATATGTTTTACTTGTCAGAATTGCACATAGTGTTATGTGGAGATGAAAATATGGATTGTACTTGCGTGGCATTTCAATAAGTTAATTGGGATTTCAACCTTGTATTTAATTGGATTTTCACTGCATGTATATGACCTGTGAGAAAACAATCAGTGCTAGTGTTAGTCCTTTCAAAATTGAAGCAATCAGTGCTAGTCCTTTCAAAATTCTTTTGCTACCAATGCCCTTTGGATTTGTAGGCAAAGCTAAGTTAGCCACCCTTTTCTGTTTTTGTATTTTGTTAAATCCCAAAGGAATTCAGCTAAGGGATTTGGTTGCTGCTGCTGCTTGTTGAGGTTGCTCTTAAACATCTTCAGCTTCACGGCGTTGGGATATCTTGAGGTCACCCCCTATTTCTCGGTCATCTTCGACTTTTTCTCATCGGTGTCCCTCTCCTGAGTTAATGCCCTGGCCAAACCCTGTTTCGTTTTCTTGTACATAAGCATGAAAGTTGTTTCTCGAAGGCTTTATCTTGGAGCAGAATACTTGTCGGAAGTTGTTGAAGCAGCCACAATCATATATTCGGGGCCTTGCTAGTCCTTGTCCTTGGTACAGAATCCGAAATGTCTCACACGTGGTCTGAAATAAATATCAGAAAGGACACATGATGAATATTCAAACTATCATCCTTCTTCAAATATATGAATTTACCACCACGGTTGGCTTGTATCGTTTACAGATAACAGGATGCTCACCTGGTTTGCCAATAAGATACAAGAGGAAGCAGGTTAGTCCTCCAACAAACCAAAGGAAAATGAAGCAATAAACCATTAGTACAACCGAAAGCGGGGACTCTTTTATTGCCTTCCTCACCGTTCTGTAGTCATCGGCAAGGAATTTTATGTTCAATGCAGACATTGGAAGGATGAAGATGCAGAGGATGGTCGATGACGAAATGAACAGAAAGAATGACCGGTAGTTGAGCTGCATATAGATAAAGAGTAAAAAGTTAAGACAAACTACTATACAATAATTGAGCAAGTCTTTCTCGCAATGACGGTGTTTATCAACATCAATTACACTACTTCAGTTTCCTGTTTCTTTGGCAACATATTTGAAGGTAACAAACTGGTTTCAGCAAGCAAATAGTCAACTACTTAAAAAGTGGGACGAACATACCAATCCGATGCACTGGCCTACCCAAGGACAATGATGATCAAATCGCTCCATGCAGTTATCACATACAGAGCAATGTGAGCAACGAGGCGGACGATTCAACTGACATGTGATACAATACTTCACCCTAACAAGCACACCATTGACAATGACTTCTTTTGTGGGTGGCAGTCGTGGGGTTGGTGTTTGTCTACCGACATCAATCGAAACTGAGGAATCGTAGCATATTTCTTCTGTCGGTGGATGTAGATTGCGAGGAACAAATCCAGGGTCTCTGGCGGAGGTTAGAAGCAGCTGTACTAATACCTATCATAATGAATCAAATAATTACAGTTGAAAATTACTCCTACTCCTACATGATCATAGGAATAAAAATGAACACACAAGGCTTTTATCAAAGGAACTAACATAGATTGTGAAAACTACTGTCACCATTAGAATTGCATAGCCAGCGATATTTCCTGACTTTTCATCAAAGAGGTTCCTTGCAACATTTGTACAGAAGATAACGGGAACAATGATAAGCAGTCAGGTGACAATCAGTGACTTAGCATCTCGACCAAATATCAACCTCCCCTTGAAAGTAAATTTCTGCAAGATGAAGCCAAAATAATATATATATATATATATATATATATATATATATATGTGTGTGTGTAGGCGTGCGCGCGCAGAAAAATCCACAAATTAGGGTAATGCTGATAAATATAATAACTCAGGACCGTAACACAAGGGTTTCTACTTTCTAGATATCGAAACATATGAACTTATAAAAACGTATCTAAGCACTTATGTACATGTATCTAAATATGCAACATAGACAAATATGCCTTCATACATTAGGGTCATTTTGCTGAATCCGGAGAAGAAGAGAACTAATATTATTGAACAATCAAAAAAAAATATCAATAATGTTTCTGAGTATCAGTTTATATATGTACTGGTGTGTAATTCATCATTCCTCAAGTTCAAAAATAGAAATATTAGCTTCTAGTTTACTGTTCATGTACAAGACAGCTCATGTTCACCTCTCTCCTCAAGATCAAATCATTCAAGTTTTCTTTTGAAAATTTTCCATCATAGTCTTGATATTCATAATGGTAGTATCTGATTAACATGCCAATGAACAACCTATCTATCCTGTGAAATGGTACAAACAAACATGTACTGAGAAAATAAATCAAAGCATGAGTATTGACAAGCAAATCAAACTCAAACGGAAAATTAAGCATGGGGAAGCACAGAAAGCATGCATTTTTGCCTTTCCAAACTTCATACTGACGCTTAGCCATTATGGAATGTGTTGAGATGAAGGGTTACCAAGTTGGGATGACAAAAGTGAGGAATATTTGAAACTTGGTTTCGGCCATTTCTTTTTGTAAATGAGAGGAAGAGAAAAAGAGGCGGTTCTGGGGTTCAAAATGAGCTGGAAAGAATGATGTGTTTTGTGGGATTTTTAAGATTTTACTTTTGGTTCGCCACTTTTCCTTTTACACATAACCCATTTTTTGGTTGTCGGAAATGCTGATTATTATACGGTTAATATACAGTGTTACAGGAAATATAATAAGATATTTAATAAAGTCGGTTTAGCGCTATCGAAAATGTTGAGAAATAATAATGTTGTAGGTGGAAATCATGAAGAAATGTTAAAAAAATTGCCAACTGGCAAACTTAGCTTGTTGGTATGTATCGATACCATTAAAATATATATCGATACATAATAATATATCAGGTAAAAATATGAGAAAACCGGGTTCAATATGACAAAACCGGTAAAGCGCCACCAGATATGTTGAAGGTATCGATTCCATTCAAATAAGTATCGACACTTTTGGAATTTAAAAGAAAAGCAGTAATAGCGCCTATAAAATATCGATACTTTATAAACAGGTATCGATACTTGTTGAAAACATTTTGATGTTTTGATATAACAAATAAAGTACTATTGAATTTTAAGATTTTATATTCGATTTCAAAATTAATATTCGAGTAAATTATTCGAATATCAAAATATTACTCCAAGTTTTCAAATGGCAATTTTAAATCCTTACTTAAGTGTAAAATTGTGTTTTAATCTTAAAATATTTTTGAAACAACTTTACAAAGTATTTCGAACTTTAATCGGGCCATAAAATAATTTTTACAAAGGGATGTACTGATACACTCTTGTATGTACCAATACACCCTCTAAATCGAATGTAATCAGTGTATCGATACATAACTGATGTATCAATACTCGTGGCTCCGAGAAACATTGAATGTAATTAGTGTACCAATACACCTGAGATGTACCGATACACTAGGTCAACTAACGGTCGAAATATTTGAATTTTACATTGAGTGTACCGATACACTTGATAGTGTACCGATACACCTACACTTCCAACAGATTTTTTAAGTGCAAAACATACAACAACGGCTCTATTGACTTCACCAATGATCCCCAACGTTCAGAAGTGATCCAATGTGTATTTAAACAAGCTCAGGAGCCATTAATCAATAAGAATTGAAAAAGAATCAAGAGAGAAAGTATCAAACATCAAGTTTGTGAAATTCAAGTCAATTTTCCTTCAATATTCATTTTGCTTTCAAGAACACATTTTGTGCTCAATTATATTCATCTTTGAGTGTTCCTTTCTTGTTCTAGAATTGTGCAAACAATCTACCTTGTGAGGTTTTTCTGTAAAGTTTTCTCTTTGGGAGAGAGTGTTCTCAAGAATTTGGGGTATAATTATTGAGGGAGTTGTAAGGTTACTCTTTGTCCTCAAAAGAAAGAACAAATTAGTGAATTTGTTAGAAAATCCTTAGTGTGGATAGCTAAGGTAGTGGACGGAGACTTTGGTTTAGAAAGTCGAACCACTCTAAATTGCTGTGCAAATATTTTCAATTTTCTATAAAAGCTTCCACCAAAATTTTTATTACTAATTCTACCCCTCTTGATCGATTCATCGATCGATTAACTCAACAATTGGTATCAGAGCTACACTCATGTGAAGGTTTAACCACCTCTTGAGTCGATTCGGGAAGAGTTACATCGATATTCAAGTCATCAATAGCCTCCACTTTAAACTTCGACTTCGTTCTTGATTCTCAGCCCGTCAACAATCCTCCTTTCTTCAATGGAGCTAATTATGCTTATTGGAATAATAGAATGAGGTACTTCATTCAAGCAAGTAACATGGGAGCATGAAAAATCATAGAGAACAGATACATCGTATCATCCACTCATTTAAATTTGTGGAGAGAAGAAGAGACGAAAATGTTCCAGCTCAACTCAAAGGCTATTCATATTATATTTTGTGCTCTTGGACCAGATGAATACGAGAGAGTTTTATCTTGTACAACCGCCAAGGAAATATGAGATAAATTACAAGTCACCCATGAAGGCACAAACGAGGTAAAAGAATCTAAAATTAGTCTTCTAACTCATAGCTATGAAAATTTCAGGATGAAACCGGATGAAGATATCAAAGCTATGACAGATAGATTTTTTGTGATTGCCAATGGTCTCAAGTCATATGGAGAGATCATTTCAAATGAAAAGTTTGTAAGGAAGTTAATATATTCTCTTTCTAAAGCTTGGCAATCGAAGAAGATGACGATCATCGAAGCTAAAAACCTAAAGTCTTTAACTCTCGATGAAATCATCAGTTCTCTCATCACGCATGAAATGATGATTCAAGAAGAGGTAGACCTCGAGAAGAAGGACAAGACAAAAAAGGAGACAGAGAAAAAGAACAACGTCGGAGTTGCTTTCAAATCTACAAAAGATGAGAGTGATTCTGATGACGATGACAAGGATATGACATTATTTGTCAAACGGTTCAAAAAATTAATGAAGCCCAACAGAGAAAGAAAATTCAAAAGAAATGAAGGCTTCAAAAATAAACCAAATGAGAAGTATCCGAACATTTGTTGCGAATGCAAAAAGCCTGGGCATGTTAAATACGATTGCCCGTAATTAAAGAAGAAATGTCAATCAAAGAAGAAGCACAAGGCACACGTGGCTACTTGGAGTGATGATGAATCATCATCAAATGAAGAGGAATAAGAAGTAGTAAACTTGTGCTTGATGGCCATCGGGGAAGATTCTCAGGTAACCTCTAGCTCATGTAATTTCGAAGATTATTCTTTTGATGAGCTGTTAGAGGAATATACTGGGTTGGCTTCAGATTATGAGAAATTATTTTTGAAATACAATAATGATATTTCAAATTTGAAAAACGAAAATAATCTCATATCCAAGACTAACTTTGATCTTGAGAGTAAGATTAAAAATTTGCAAATCAAACTATATGAGTTTGAAAAAAAAATTATTGATTTACATAACTTACTTTCAAGAGTTAATGATGATCATTAAAAAGAAATTGATGATCTTAAAACTTCTTTTAATAAAGTTGGAATAAAACATTTTGAAAATGGAGAAAGTTCAAAATCCAACTTTGTTAGAAAAAAGTTTTAAAAACTACAATCATAGAGGTCCCCAAAGAACCTCTAATAGAAAAATCATTAGAAGTATATGTGTTCCTAAATGACTCATTACTACTAAAGATAAGGATATCCTACACAAATGGATACCCAAGAGGACTAGGAGCTTAGAAACTAATGAATATGGACCTAAACAAATTTGGGTACCAAAAATAAAAAATTAATCTATATTTGTAGGAAAAAGAGCATTGCTAAAAGGCGCAAAATACAAGTTCAAATTCATGGTTCCTTGATAGTGGATGCTTAAGACACATGACCGGAGACAAGAGCCAGTTTATAGAGCTTAACGACAAAAATGGAGAAGTGATAACCTTTGTTGACAACTCAAAAGGTTACATTGAAGGTATAAGTACTATAGGTAATACATCTTCCATACAAATAGAAAAAAATTTATATGTGAATGGGTTAAAGCATAATATATTGAGTATTAGTCAATTATGTGATAAAGTATACAATGTCTTATTTGAAACTAATGGTTGTAAAATTGTTGACATTGCATCTAATCGAATTATGCTTGTTAGTCATAGAATAGGAAACTTTACATGGTGCAGTTAGATACAATAAATATTACTAACTTGTGCCTAGTTGCTAAGGATGAACATGATAGTTGGTTATGGCATAGGAGACTATGACATACTATGACATACTAGCATGAGTGTTTTACAAAGACTAATTCAAGGAGATTTAGTAAAAGGGTTGCCAAAACTAAAATTTGACAAAGATAAAATCTGTAATGCATGTGCTAAAGGAAAACACAAAAGAGCCTCCTTTAAATCCATTAATGATGTATCAACTAGTAGAGTATTACAATTGATCCATATAGATTTTTTTGGGTCAATTAGGATTGTTAGCTTGGGTGGAAAACAATATTGTTTTGTATTGGTAGATGACTATTCTAGATATACTTGGGTTTTATTCTTAAGTACTAAAGATGAAGCATTAGAAAATTTCATCACGTTTTCAAAAGTAATCCAAAACGAAAAAGGTTATTTCATTTCTAGTGTTAGGAGTGATCATGGTACTGAATTTGAAAATCTTGGATTTACTGCGTTTTGTAATTCTTATGGTGTTAGCCATAATTGTTCAGCACCTAGAACCCCTCAACAAAATGGAGTTGTTGAGAGTAAAAATCAAACTTTATAATAAATGGCTAGAACCATGCTTTGTGAAAACAATTTGCCAAAATATTTTTGGGCGGAAGCCACAAATACCGCTTGTTATGTTATAAATCAAATAATGATTAAGCCTATTTTAAAGAAAACTTCATATGAACTTTTCAAAAATAAAAAGCCTAACATTAGTTATTTTCATCATTTTGGATGTAAATTTTTTTGTTTTAAACAACGGTAAAGACAATCTTGACAAATTTGATGCTAAAAGTGATGAAGGAATTTTTCTGGGTTATTCCTTAAATTCTAAAGCTTATCTGGTATTTAATAAAAGAACTCTAGTGGTAGAAGAGTATATACATGTTTTCAATGATAATCCCCTTCTGATGAAAGATTCTTGTGTTGATGATGACGTAGGTATTGTAAATACAAATGACGTTGGAGAACCATCATCACAAGAATAAATGAAAGATGAGAAAACTCACGATGCTCTCGAGAATCTAACCATTGAAGAAAGGAAAATCTCTTACCCAAGAGAATACAACTATGTCAAGGATGGTGAAATTATAGGTGATCAATCCAAAGGGGTAACAACTCGACATTCTTTTAGAAATATATGTAATTATGTTGCATTTATCTCATGCATAGAGCCAAAGAGTATCCAAGAAGCATTAAAATATGAAAATTGGATTATGGCTATGCAAGAAGAATTAAATCAATTTGAGAGAAGTAAAGTATGGACATTAATTGAGAGGCCTAATAACAAATCTACTGTAGGTACTAGATGGGTATTTAAGAATAAGCTTGATGAAAGTGGTAATATAGTGAGAAACAATGCTATG